CGAGCCGAAACATGGCGCCGCCGTTGCCTGCGCAGCTGCTTCTCTTGCCGGCGGCGTCGCCGCAGGCCGCCGAGAGGCAGGCGGCGACGAGCCAGGTGCAGAGCGGCGGCGCAACAACCCGGGCCATTGCTTTGCTGCGGATGGAGATCCCCGGCGGCGATGCGACCCCTGCTTCGTGTAACGCGGAAAGGGGGGATCCGGGCCGGGCGCATCCACGGGCGGGGGGGCAGCAAAGCAAGAACGTCGGCGGCGCCAAGAACCCCGGGGGCCGCGCCGAGATGCGCGCGGCGGCGGCGGCGGCGGCGGCGGCGCCCGGGCGAGGTGCGGGGCAGGCAGGCGGAGGGGGGGAGGAGCGGTGGAGGAGCGAGGCGGCGAGCGGGGGGTGGTTTATATGGAGAGGAGGCGCATCTGGGATGAGGTGGCGGCAGCCGCCATTAGCAGGTGGAGGTGGAGGTCGCGGTGGGTTGGAGAAAACATTGGAAAGAAGAAGTGGAGGAGGAGGAGGAGAAGTTTTTAATACACCACAAATTTTATTTTATTTTGTTTTGATTATATTTTAATAAAAAAATATAAACCCGACGCAATTTTTAATACCTTTGTTTTTATCTTTTTCTGTGTTTGTATGTTATTTTGTAAATTAAATAATAAATGGAGAACTGGAGAAACAGAGAAAAAAATGATGAATATGATTTTTTTGGGTTTTCTTTTCGTGTTTGCGTTTTTCTTTTATTAATTAAAAGAGAAACGGAGAAGAAAAAAATGAATTGATATGATTTTTGTTCTCTTTTTGTGTTTGTATATTAATTAAATAAGGAAGTGGAGAAAAAGAGAAGAAAACAAATAAATGAATGTGATTTTTGGTTTTTGGTTGGTGTGTTTGTGTGTGTGTGATGGGATTTTGATGAGGGCATGAGGAGGCCAGGTAGGGCTCTGGATGCTCCAATAGAGTTTGGTTGCAGATATATGGATTTGGATTTTGAGATCACGAGATCACAACGTGGGAGAGTCGACAGTGAGAGGTCTCTGTGTTGCGGGATTACATAGAGAGAGAGTATGTGTGTGTGACTGAGATTTTTGTGTTTTTAATAAAGGATATTTGTTTGTTTTCTAACAACAGTTTGAACTGGTGCTAGCATAGTAGTACCATCTGGCACTTTGAGTTATTGCCATACAGGACTCACTGTATTATAATTATGGGCTTTATTTTTATAGTGGATTCACGATGTTGGCTGTTTAACACAGTTGACCACAAAATAATTCTCTATCCAGATCTCAAATACTTAAACTTTCAATAACCCTTTGAATATTTTTATCACAAATAAGTGGAATTTTATAATGTGTGCATGTGACACATTTAAACTTTCAATAACCCTTTGAATATTTTTATCACAAATAAGTGGCATTTTACAATGTTTGCATGTAACACATTTAAACTTTGAATAACCTTTTGAATATTCAACTTCTTATAAAAAAAATGGATATGTAAGATTGTCTTCAACAAATAGTTCCGAAATATAATAGTTGTTCTACATTCTTCAATCTTCATAGTTTTTAGGCCATCCCCAACCCAAAATCATAATGTAGTTTACATACTTGCCATGTCATATAAACATTATGTGAAGAAACTATGTGTTCCATGGATGGTGTCTTCAAATTAAATTCTCATCCAATCACCTCTCTTATCTCTCCTTTTATCCACCTATCTCCTTGTTTTCATTCTTGGTTCTTGTGTAGAGATGGTTTCTTCATCTTTTTACCTCTCTCCTCATTAACTCTCTTGTCACATATCATTTTTGCTTATGTGACAATGTATTTAATGTTATGGACACTAGATGACATGGAGGGTTGGGGATGGCCTTATTATACTACAGTACAAGTAACTAGTAAGCAAAGTAATATCTTGGTGACCGTGTCGATGCCTAAAAATTAACTTATATGTGACCGCAATGAGTAATTTCCTAGGCAAAAGATTTTTAGCATGAAGGATGAAAGAATAGACATCAGAATATGACCCAATACAAATCTGAACTCACATGACCACAAAATAAAATTGTACAATTTCTCCTAATTGACACCAAAAAATCACTTGTCCTTTAGCAAATAAGGACATATGTATAATTTCAATGGCATATGAAATATTAACCTTTTCTTCATAAGGATGGAGTTAGCTTTTACATAATTTTGGGGAACTACATAGAGTTCAAATTAGTGTTTATTTTCTCCTAAATTTATTTTAATCATCTAGAAGGAACATATATAAATCCATTTAAGGACCTTAATCCATTTTCTCCCAATTTGTCACCCTCCATAAACTATTAGTTAGATCTAGAATCATTCTAAATTGTATTTCTTAGTGGCTAGTTAACTCTAGAGCTAATTTGGAAAGACTTCAGAACAATTACTTTTGTTCTAGATACATTTAATGTTTTCAAATGTACTAGTATTGTCGAAGGACCTAGTAATAAAATGTATTGCTGACGGAATTAGACCAAACAAATTTTAAAACACTACTTGCTTTCTAGGGTCTTTTTCAATTGCTTATTGGGCTATCTGGGACAGGTACTCATAATCAAAGTGATATGTACAAGTTACAGTGCTACAAAGAAGAAAAATACCAAGGGCAATTACTAGAAAATTAAGTGACCAAAGAAAATGACAGCAGCAAAATGAAGCCAATAAAGCGCACACAAAAAAAATCCGTTTATTTACTCCTGTGACATTCTAGTCGCTCACTGTACAATGAGTTTGTCATCCTTTTATGACATAAAGATGAGTAGAATGCCGACAATAATGTCCTAGGCCATCATGACAGCAACACCATTTGAAAAAAAAGCATGGCTACATGGTCAGTCCTTGGTCTAATTTCTTTTTTTTTTAGTTTTTGTTCTTTTGTGCACAGTCACAATTTTTGTCTGTTCGAGTCAATGACATAGTTTTATTTCGTTGTTATTTATTTTGGCTGCTTGCATCATGTCTTGCTTCCATCATGCATGTACATTCAGCTTAATTAGAAAAACTGGCATATGCTGTTGGTTTTGATGTTACAAGTGTAGTTACCATTAAGCCCAACCTTTTTTCTGACGATCAATGCACTTTCAGTATCATTTTTTTATCCTTATTGCAAAATTTGCTTTATATAACATCCAGGTTTTTTTAGAGGGAAAAGAATGCAGCTAGCAGAAAACCAAAAGCAGTTTTATAATCTTCCCTTGTGACGAGTGACGACCAATGATGAGCCGTGTAAAATTTCTCTACAAATGTTGTTCTGTCATGCATGTACATTCAGCATAGAAAGTTGGTGTTACTAGAAGAACAGACGGTAAACATCCAGTCATCCATTTTACTGAAGATATATGCACATTCAGTATTTATTACAATTTACAACCGTTTTAAAATACAAACATTTCTAGTATTCAAATAATATTCCACGATATAAGCATTTCTACCATCATTCATAGTAGTGCTAATACATGTCTCATCAATCACTTTACATTTAAATTTCTTTCTATTCTATTTCTAACCACCGTCCTACTCTTTACCCTTCTTATTTATTGAAGGGCACCAAAGTTTTTTAAGTGTTTATATTTTGAGATTGACGAAGTAATTTCTTCAGCGTGGCAGCAGCTTTGTAAACTGAGAAAAAATAGAGAGAGAAGTAACGCACCCAGCAGAAAGCAAAAGCTTAGCTCACGCAGTTTTCATATCTTCAATGGTGATGACAAATCGCAAGTGAGTCGTGTAAAAATTCTCTACAATTACCGGGTGTTGCTGCCTTCAGAATCTGAAGTTCATAGAGCAGTTCAAGTTGTACGCTATTGTGCTATTGTACTGTGGCAGCACGGCCGTTTCTCTGACCGATTTGGACATTCTTTGCCTTCTTCATGACTGATCATCATAAACCTCGAGCTGTTAGAGGAAACTGGCCATTGAAAACCCACGTACTTAAACACCAAATTGGCAATTAGTCACCACCGGAATGAAATTCAAGGAAGAATGTTGAGATAGGTACCAGGCAAAATTTGACCCGGTGTCTCGTATTTTGTCACACTTTGACACAGAAAGAACACGGAAGCAAAAAAACGCCAAATGCGTGCTTAGCAGAGCGTGCGATGCGTGCCAAAATCTGGTCGTCCAAGCAATTTGAAATGCACACGTCGGGAATTTCTAGATATCCAAGAGCTCGTCAAAAACCCGGCATGTGTGTGGTGAGAAATCGAAATCTAACGGCAAATCATGCAAGTTTGTAGCCGAAACTTGCCGGGATTTCCTTGTCTTTCTCCTTAATTTAGCCAAAGTGCTGTGCCGCCGGCATTGCTCGGCTCACGCGTGTTTGATGAGGCGCTAGATAAGGTAGCTAAAATGCGAAGCTAAGCTTGTTTGGCTGTGTTGCAGCTGGCACGCCAAGGCTGGCATTTAGTTGCTAACCCAACAGAAATATTGATCCTACCAGCTTAATTAGACGAGGATGTCTGAACCTTAATTTGGGCCCAATCTGATTTGATACCTCTGCAGCTGCCAAAGCATGTGCAAACGGAAGAGTTCAGGAGGCTGAAGATATATGCTTCAGTTCTTGTCGAGAAACAGTGCAGATTTGTTCTTACATCCGACCCGGAACTCTAGCAAGAGTCTGTTTAATAAGAATGTCAGAAATGGAAACATCATAAGTTGATTCTGATTTAGATCAAACCACAGGCAGACAGGCGAATGAATACTCCCACCAAACGTAGGGCAAATGGGGCGCTTAATCGTCAGTGCAACTTGGGAGCATTCGGCAAATGAAGGGATTAAAGCTGCCTTCACTCGTATTAATGAGCTTGCAAAATCAGCTCAGCTATTGCACCATGCTCAGTTGTCGAGATAGCGAGATAATTGCCATAATGTCCAGAAACTATTAGATACTTTATCAAACGTTTGAGCAAATCCATAATGTCAGGCAGCAACGTTATGCAGTTATACCACAGATGCATGCCATAAATATCAAGCATAAGGCACAGGAATGCTCACCGACAAATGACATCAGAAGATATACAAGAAAAATTACCAGAGTTGCAAGTCATAGCATTTGCTCACAAAATGCACTTGAAGCAATGTAATCCATGAACGTTGACAGGAAGGAAGCTAACACGCAGTAACCAGATGCATCGGCATTCAAAATTGATTCTCACTTAACATTATGCAATACTTTAACATGGAGCTACTTAAACAGATCTACCAAATACATTACATAATGTTAAGTAACTCAGTTTTCCTCCAGTAGCTGACGAATGATGATCCGCACATTTCCTACCAGCCAGTAGGTGCCGGAGCACTGCCTTCCTCCCATCCAGGGGCGGCAGGAGGTGCAACAGCAGCAGCGGCGGCAGGAGGAACAGCAACTGCATCCCACCCTTCTGCAGCCACAGGAGCTGCCGTTTGAATGCACAACAAACATTAGACCATGTTACAGGTTTTAGAGAGTTTTTAGACAGTTTAGTCTCATCATAGAACCAAAAAAAAAGAAGCACTTTTGATAGAAGCGTTAGTATTGTTCTATTTATTCAACATTAGTCTAATCCCATTGTTCAAGACATTATAACAATTAATCTTGTTTATGCAATCAAACATATCATCAGACAAAAGACAACCAAGAAACCAATCACACAATTGAAGTCCAATTAGACAGGCTAAGACACTTGTAAACTCTTCAGCTTAACACACTGCAATTAAAGTTCTACTCACTCCAGATGAGAATCTAATCCAACTGTTCGAAAAATACTTGTCCCCATAGACTTTTCTATTCTCTTTATTCACATGTAAATCTCACCTGGTGATCACCATAAAAAACTTATACCATTTTACCCTCATAATATCCCGTTTCCCCTCTACAACACAAACTTATCCCATTTGCCCTCATAATATCCCGTTTCCCCTCAACACCTTAGAAGCATTTTTTGGTTGGGATAAGGACCTTAAAATTTCCCTGGGTACCAATTGCCCTCGTAGAGCTTCAAATGTGTACCATATAATCTCATATAAGCTCATAATTTACTAAACATCATATTAAGGGAAACAGGAGAAATAATTAAGTAGGAATGAAATTAAGATTGTTGAAAATCAGGGCGGCAAGCCAACCTGGAGCAGCACCCCATTCCCCAGTCGGTGCAGCAGGGAGGGCAGGAGGCTGGACCTCTCCACCCCATTGCTGGTCACCCCAATTGTCAGTTGGAGCAGCACCATACTCAGCAACTGCAGCATATTCAGGACCTACTGCAGCCTCCTCTTCCTCCTGCTCCTTAGCTTCCTCTGGATCTCTATAAAAGAAAAGATCAACCTACAAAAGAGAAACAGAATCAAGGAGAAATTAGAAGACTTACGGCTTGTTTGGTAACTCGATGGAAGGGGATTGGGAATTTACACAAGGGAATTGATGATGGGATTAAGATGGGAATTTGATTTTTAATCCCAATATCTTGTTTGGTAGAGGTGATGGAAATTGATAGGGAGTTTAGTTGGAGATTAGGTCATTAATAAAAACGGATGGCTGAGATTTGCTTAGACAAAGTAAAGGAGGAATTCCCTCCCAATTACCTGCCCCTACCCAGGTATTGAAAAGGAGGAAGTTCCTTCCTCAATTCCCCATCCCCATCCCACCAAAATTCCCATGTCTCCCAACCAAGCAAAACACTTAATAGCCTCATCCCTCTAAACTCCCAATCCCTCCTAAAAACTCCCTCCAACCAAATGGGCCGTTAAAGGTAGCATGTTATACACAAAAGGCAATTCAGGTACAGATCCAAAAATGATGAATTGAAATGTGTTCAATCATTGTCAAAGTTTACCATGACATCCCACTTGTGCCCAGGGAGAATTGTGCCACGCATCTGAAGAACCATCCTAGCAAGCAGCCCAAAAGGGGCAACCAATGCTCTGGTTCCCCTTGTTTGTTGGCAGGAATACCAATGTCGACATAGCGCATGGGAGAATCAGTGTCACAGAAAGCAATAGTGGGGATGTTTCCAAGAGCAGACTCCTTGATTGGCTGCACAAAACATCAAAACAATTGACAGCTATAAACACATATGCAAACTCCATTGCAAAAGAGTGCTCATGGAACAAATATAACCTGATGATCTGTCCTGGGGTCAGTAAGGATGAGAAGACGTGGCTCACTGAATGAGGTTTGCAGTTGGTTGGTAAATGTACCAGGAGTGTGCCTGCCAGCAATGGCATGAGCTCCGGTGTACTGTGCAAACTTGAGGACAGCCCTCTGACCATAAGGCCTAGCAGACTGCACGATGATGTCCTGTGGGTTCTCAATGGCAACAATCACTCTGGCAGCCAGCTGAAGCTTCTCCCAGGTTTTGCCAAGGTTAATGATGAAAATGCCTGAAGGAAAATATGCAAGGATAGCCTCTTGTCATCACCATTGTTACATAATCAAGAATCTATCGCTTATGAGAATGCAGATGAAGGAGGCCTTTCACATTCACGTTTTCTTCAACAACAAAAGAAATCATTACAAGAAGCATACTTTACCTCGTCAGGTTGCTGCATTAAACAATAAATTATAAAGGGAAAAAAACCATGATCCAGGGCACAAGTTTCAAAAATAGGAGAAGTTGCCGCATGTAACATTTGTGAGAAATTGGAATTGAACAACAATCCCACTACCCCAGCACAAGACAAGACTAGGTTGCTTCGGCTAAATAGATAGATTAAACTATTAGGCCCTTGGTGCATGGTAACTACTAATAACTATGAAAAAAACCTAGCAACCGTACTGCATTACCTCCATATGCTGAAACATTAATCCCATCACAAACAGAAAAAAAAAAAAAGAACAGGGGCATGGTCCCCTGCCAGTTTACAATTGGCAAAAACCCCCCAAAGCCCGCATCCTAACACAAGGGATTTGGGCTTTTCCCGGGGAAAAAACCTACTCACTTGGCACCAACTTAGACAGATTTAGCTACGCCTAAGCCTGCGAAATCGCGACGGACCCCAAATTTAGAAGAGGTTTGATCTATACGCGACCGGGTGGGGTTTCGAGGGGAGGGAGGGGGAAGCCCGGATCGTACCGTCGGATCGGCCCTTTTAAACTTACCGCTCCATCTGGAATTCCCAGTTCTTGGTTCCCCAAGTTGAACTTCCGCCGCGAAGCATCATCTGGAATTTCCTGCTCCCCCTGGAAAACCCCCCCCGGGGCCCCCCCCC